TATATATATTTTGCCATAGTAGTTACATATACTCAAATTATTGAAAATGTATTTTGATATATTAGTGACAAATACTCATGCTATTCAAAGTGTATTTCATTAGTTACAAATACTCAAATTATTCTAAATGTATTTAGTTATATTAGTTACTAATACTTAAATTACTCCAAAAATACTTTGTCATATTAGTTACAAATGCATAAATTATTTCGAAATGTACCTTGTCATATTAGTTACGAATACTCAAATTATTCAAAATTTTCTTTGTCAAATTATTATATACAAAAACTTCATCAATTAGGCGAACATACGGAAACGACCCAAAGTGGCGACGACGATGATAATGAAGATAATTCAGGTGGAACAAATAAAAATTCGACAGGGTAAGTCCGTAGATTTTTATTCAATTCAAATACGATTAGTTTATCAGATGTTTATTCAATTCAAATACGATTAGTTTATCAGATGTTTATTCATTTCAAATACGATTAGTTTATCAGATGTTTATTCATTTCAAATACTATAAACAACCCTGATTTTACTTGTATGAAGGGGAAAATACATTATCAGTTTTGTCATAAACTGTTATAAAATAAAATAAAAAACTTAGAGCAGGGGCTAAATTAATATATATATATATATATATATATATATATATATATATATATATATATATATAATTGATGAAACGTGTCCTATTTGCAATCTTAATGGGTTTTTTTAAAAAATTCTTCTTTAAAATTTTTATTCTATTTTAGATGTTCATTTTATTTAGATCAACATACATTAAAACGTATGTTTATACATATTCTTAAAAACATGATGTAATTTTAAAATGTTTAATGCTGTATAATTTTTAAAAATTTGACTTCAAAAACTTTTTTTAAAAAATAAACAACCTCCATAAATAATGTGTTTTAAATCATATATATAATGTAATATTATTATTATTGTTATTATTATTATTAGGTGCCTTTTTATAGCGCAGTATCCAAACTTAGGGATAGGCTCACTGCGCTTCACATAAAAATTAGTAGTTACAGAAACGTATACCTTTAAAACAACCAAGTACTATCTCCTCCTGTCTAGCCATGGACAACAACCAGCAGAATCGAGCGTTGTTCGTCAGTCGGGTGGGGGAGAATGATCACGTTTCTTTGCCTTTAGATCTAATCTAGCAGATGAGTTTTGAACTTTCTCCAGGTTTTTCTAGGCGATGTTTTGGTGAACCTGACAGAATGGTGTTACAATAGTCAAGACAGGCAATGAGGAGTGGGCTTCGTTTTAGTTTTTTTTTTTAAAATTGCAAGTGAATTGTTTCGCGCTTCTTCTGACAGTTTGATTCAAAATTTTCCTGCTGTTTGCCAGCCGAAAATGGAATCAGCGATGATATCGTATTCGCCAAAAATTTGATGCAAGCTTCCGTCGTGTTCATTTATCAAATATCCTGATAGATAAGCCATGGCCGTGCAAAAAGTATTGCCACTCAGACAACACTCCATACAGCAGGTTCTTTGAAATACGACATTCCTTCATTTCCTTAAATAACAAGTGAAGGCGTCTTGTAATAAAATTGAAGAGCATGCTGCCCACTTTTTAGAACCCTTGTCTATGAGATACAATCTCGTAAAAAAAAGTTTTTATTTTAGGAGAGAACACAACAAAATGTGTTGTTTGTTTTTTTTAACATCCTCTTTCATATATTTTGTGATTGGCATGTTTTGTCCTAATTAAATATTGATTTGAGAACGATTATAGAAACAACCCAAAATTAAACAAAGTATGCTGCGTTTACGTGCAAGTGACTTTGTTTCACGAAAAATTGGACGTACCCCATATTCACCATGCGCTAAAAACAACAGTACCCCAAAAAGGCCCCATTTTTTAAAGCGTACGTTGGCTTGTCCATGGTGCATACTAACATATAGCTTCAGTGGCCACGGATTCGAATAAAAGATTGGTTGGAGATTTTTAGTCTGGAATGGACGGAGGTAAATAATGCATAGTTTATCATAATTTTCGCTCTTATATAAATGATCTGCGATGGGGATCAATGATAACAAAAGATAACAATGTTTAAAAATATATTTTCTAAATCCTAATTTCTGTTTGAATTCACAGAATATTGTTCCGATGATGCACAGATCTGGGTAACAATGGTCATCCAAGCTTAACAGATGATAATATTAATCTTATTATTAGTAGCAATGGTATTCCAAGCGTAACCAGAAGATAAAATGAAACCTTATTATTGGTAACAATGGTCATTCGAGTGTAATAGATGAAAAAGTTTACCCTTACTTTAGTATAATTTCTTTTTAAAATCAATATTTATTTGGAATAACATAAAATGTCTTTGAGATTTTATAACTTGGTTTTTTTTTTTTTAAATTCAAATGTTTTAAAATGTTACATGGTTCTCTTTAATTAATCGAATAAGTTACAACTGACTTTTGACTTAATTTAACATTGTTTAGGTGTTGTTCGTAAAGAGTGCCCGTAAGGTTGAGAAACATGCTGGCAATTGTGTACAGAGACAGGAGCCGTCCTCGCAAGTTTGCACAAAGATGAGAACCATGTTGGCAAGTGTGTACAGAGCTAATAACCATGCTGGCAAGCGGGTACAAAGATAATAACCATGCTGGCAAGTGTGTACAAAGACATGAACCATGCTGGCAAGTGTGTACAAAGACATGAACCATGCTGGCAAGGGTGTACAAAGACATGAACCATGCTGGCAAGTGTGTACAAAGACATGAACCATGCTGGCAAGTGTGTGCAAAGACATGAACCATGTTGGCAAGTGTGTACAAAGATAATAACCATGCTGGCAAGTGTATACAAGACATGGACCATGCTAGCAAGTGTGTACAAAGACATGAACCATGCTGATAAGTGTGTACAAAGACATGAACCATGCTGGCAAGTGTGTACAAAGACAAAGAGGAATGAAAAAGTGGCGTATTTACTGCAGCCATCCTTTATAAACAACACCTTTCCATGTATTCATATTGTATACTCCTTTTTAAAACGTTTAAACTTCTATCAATTGTATTTGTATAATAAAAAACGTTATAAAGAAAAGCAACCACTGTTATGTTTTTAATTTTTGTATTAAACTTATTCCTAAAGTTTATATAAAAATGAATTTCAATGTAATTATTAAAAATATATATATACGTCTTTCCATGAATTAAATCGAGTTTAACAATTAAACTATCTATTTTTACACGCTTTTAAAAAATCATTTAGCAGCGACAGCTCTGAGGTTTTGGGGGACTTTTCAGTCATAGCGTGCAAACTGTCAATTCAATTGGAGATTAAAAAAAAAAAAAAGAAAAGTGGATCAAAATAGAGATGCAATATTTGACACGATAAGGTCACTTGGACATCACGGGAGTTCATTGGTCACCTACCGATCATAAAGAGTTGTAATGACATCTGGGGTTGGTGAAGTGTACAAAGTTTCAGAGATCAAGAAATGGGTCGAAATTGAGATTCAAAAGTTGATGGAAAGGTTACAAAAGGCATCAATTTGAAATTTGACGCAGACAACAGACCAAAAAAAAAAAATTAAAAAAAAAATTAAAAAGTATAAAATAAAAGCAAATACAAGCTTTAAAAAACAATACTTAAAGGTTACATACAAGGGGAGAAATTGGCAAAAATTTATTATGATAATTTATTTAATTCGGTAGAAGAGGTTAATAATCCTTATGTACCAGTATCAGAAACGCGCGTTAATTAAAATAACGAAGTCTAATAATGAAGGGGAGTATTGGAAGTCAATTCAATGATGTTAAGACACAAAAAAACAATGTTTTTATCACTGTATTTGACACTGCACTTGGGGTTATTACCCTTGTCACACAGATTGTTCCACACTGACAGGTACAAAGCATTACAAAGATGGCTTCGCAAGGAGCAAAAAAAAAATTTTTTTTTAAAAATTGTCTTACAAGCAATTGGGACGTGGTGATTAGTATAATGTCTTTCATCATCATCATCATCATGTCTCTTGGTCCTTGGACCGTTGGGGCGCCACAGATGACATGTGATCTATCCTCCTCCATTCGTCTCTGTCTTCTGCACTACGCACAGTGTTAGTCCTGTCCACTCTTTGATGTTAACCTCCCATCTATTTCTTTGTCTTCCTATTCTTCTCCCTCCTCTTGTGGTGCCCAGCAATATTTCTTTGGCAAGCCCTTGTTTCCTTGTTACGTGGTCGTACCATAGTAGTTTACACAATTTCATTTTATTTTAAGTTGTATTTAAATAGTATTTTGTTTCATAATTTTCTTTGAGACTATTTATTTGTTGAAACTTTTTATCAATGAATGAATGTATTTTTAAAAAATTTTTATCCTTTAAAAACAACTCATCCTTTAAAAAAGGAAAAACAATCTATTAGTATGTTAGTATGAATATTATCATATTGGATCTAATTTCAAACTTAGACATATTTTACCTAAAAAAAAAAGGAAGAAAGATCATACTTTCAAAAGACGTTACACATTTTTTAATATGTGATTTATCTGAGGAAAACTGCCGAGGTTATGCGGAGCAGATCTGATTCCATGAGTGGTTTAGATAGAGGTCTGACCATCCAGGATGGGATGGACATAATGTTAATGCGGTTTATTAATGTCCAAAGCAACATTTTCCTCCCAACATTCATAACATTGGATTACATAATATGTATCTCACACTCAATATTGTAGGTTTGAGAGCTTACAAAAATAAATTTCCTATGACAGAACTGACCCTGACGTCCACAGGATCTAGCGTGAATGGAAGCTTTTCATCACAAAATGACCCTTTGCAAACACTTGTCAGCGCCTTCAGTGTGTCAACTTCAATGACGCAGGTCCTACAGTCGGGTCGGCTGTCTGTCCACCATCTGGACCACACGAATGGGAATCACAAAAGTAACATGACAAGCACACCTTCCCAAGTTAGCAACATTAGAGAAGCCTTAACAAGAGACAAAGAAATCAACATGGCAATGTTAACTCTTCATGAGCTTTTTATTCTTGTTTCAAGGTATTTTAAAATGTTTGTTTATGTTCATCATCGTTAATATCATGTATGTCAAAAAAACCAACATCTGACACAAGCAACTGTAACATGATGAGGATCACACTGGACACCTGACACAAGTTCACATAGAGGCAGTGGGATGTAACTCATACTGCACTCATTGCTCAACTTTGAACTACATTAAACAAAAACAAAAATTATCTTAAGTTTTCACTATTGAGAATATACCGTATTTGCCGGCGTGTAGGACTATGACACACTTTCTTCTCAAAATAGGACTAAAATATGGGGTGCCTCTTCTACCCCGGTAATCAAAATTATGAGTGAAGTTTTAATTGCAATCAATCTAAAACATATGGTTGATATTAATAATAATATACATATGTTTCAAATAAATCACTTACGTAATTTTTTTTATCCACTGTCCAGATAACGTGTGTGATATATATGTCATTTGCTTCATTACTGAAAGAGGGATAACTTTAGTAAAAATAGATTTCAGAATCACCGACATCTAAAATTAGGATTTATTCAATGTGAACAAAATGGAAATTAATAAAAAAAATGTATACGTTTTTTTATATTTTTAAATGTTTATAAAAAGGGGATGCATCCTATTTACTGCAGTATCCTATATGCTGGGAAATATAGTAATTTTTGCATAAACATTTGTGAAGTCAATAATTTTTAAATGGCATTTTCTAAAAACACATAATTATTTTCTTGTTCTTTCAACTTTTGTCTCTACATAATTTCTACCTTGACTCTTCCATGCTAAAAATGCACTAGAAATTTTAAAGATTTTTGACAAGCGATTGTCTTTGATCTCTTTTTTCAAGTGACCAAAAAATACAATTTTTTATTTAACTAATACATTTCTAATTCAACAATTTATTCATTTGGTTTAACATCTAAGCTGAACATGTAAAAGAATTCTATTCGAATGTAACAACATAATTAAGTAACCTTTTTACAAGCCTACTCATCACAAGTTAGCCTCACTCAATGACTTCCATTACAAACTTTCAACACCACTGCCAACATTCATCAGGTAAAACATAAGCTACTTAATATTCAATAGAGAAAAAAAAAAATTAGGTGTAATTAACAAAAAAGAAACATGAAAATAGACCCGGTGTGTTTGAACAAAACAAGTTCAAATGAAGGGAAAATGTAGTACTTAAGTGTTCAGATTTTCTAAAAAATTTAAATTCCATCGGTTCTCATTCAAGGACTGGGAAAATTAATATAAGGAACACTTCAGGAATTTTTTAAAATAAATTAGGAAACAAAGGGGAGAGAATTACATGTCGTGACAAATCAAGACCCCATTACTCTGATAAAAATTTGAACATTCTTTAAATACATTTTATTATTACATTCAATCTAGATTAATTTTAATTTGAACGTGCTGTGAATGGTACATGTAAATGACAAAGGAAATTGCTTTTAAATATGTTTGAAACGATCATTAAACAAAATATTGGAAAAATCATCAGATTTGATCGTATAAAAATGTACTTTTGTGTCAAGGGAAGACGACGGGAACATTTCTTGATTTTACAGAAAGAAGTGTCTAAATTTCAGTGAGACTGGACCTAAAAAATGCTTAATGAATGTGAGAATGGTATCAACTTTCTGGTCATATATAAAACCTTCTCTTAGCTCAGAACTTTAATATATTATCAGAAATGACATGACTGTGAGAGGAAAGAAAAAAAAAAAGTTAATTCTTTGTCTGTACATAGTTATTGTCATGATTAAACTTTATAGTTTTATCAACATTGAAGGAATATTAACATCATTCAAAATAAGTTTTTTTTAGCTTTTATAGGAAAACTAGAACATAAAAACTCCATAGAAATGGGGAAAAAACAACAAATTTTAACCTGTTTTCAATTTTATATCAAGGATTTGGTTTAATTTGATTCATCAATATTTTAAATTTCAAATAGATTTATGAAAGGATTCTACATTCTATTTTTCAAAAACCTCATACTGACACTTTGGATTAGCATGATTACCTTTAGCTTAGAATACAATAAATACAGGAACACTCTATAAAAAGTAAGGTGTCTGGTTTCTCGGCGGGATGACTCGCTCAGTGTCAGGAACAGCCCGAAACAGCTTGGCCTCTCTGTGGTCGGGGTCTGTGAACGCAAGAACAGCGGCAATGTTGCCACACCGGTAGCAGTAGTTGGGGGCTGACCAGACAGTAACGAGCTTCTCATCAAACATAAATTTGTAACCTGGAGAAAAAGAACGTAAATGAGTCTTAATATCAAGAAAGGAGAAATGACTAAAGAAAAAAACAACAACAACCAAAGTCATGCTGCTCTTTGGCCACTGCATTAAATTAAAAGTGACATATCATTTGATATCACTAATCATTAATGATTGTATTTCTTAAAATGAATATACTGCCAAGGAAGCTGATTTAAAATGATAAATGTATTTTTTTTAAAATGACAAAATAGTAGATGAAGTGCTAGGTACTTTCGTTTGGACATTGAATTTGATTATTTTATTTTAATTTAACAAATAAGCTGCAGCACAGTGGAAGGTTCATAGATATCAGTTTTAAATGTCTGTGTAGGTGCCACTCAAAAAATGAATCAATGATATATAAACATAAGGAAATTTTCCATTGCAAGAAAGATAGAAATGAGACTGGACCAAGCAATACACGGTTGGGAGCAGCACCAACAGTTAAGTATATTTACCTTCATTAACAAGTTGATGAGCACGGCATATCAACTTCAAGCTGTTGAGTGTCACAAACTGTCAAATCAACGCACAGATGAGAGTTAGAATGAAGGTTACTTTTTACTATTTTTTATGCTGAACTAAGTGTGAGTTTTTTATTTTCTAAAGACAATGATAGAAATTTTGAGTAAATGAGATTTGTTTATATCGTGTAAGTTTCATAGTAGATTTTGAAACATAGTATATTGAACATTTTCCATCATTAATCATTAAGTCAAATTAAACTTGTTAAAAATAATTGAATTTACAAGTACTATATAATTATTGTTGGATGTGTTGAGATGTGCAGGCAAGAAAAAGTTTGAGATTCACAGAAGAATTGTATTTTTGATAGATCAAACAAACCTACCTCATTAGTAACCTTTGACCCAAAAAGCCACCCAGCACCTCGGGGGCTCATGGCCCAAGAATCTACATCTTCAGGATCAGACCAAACTAAATCTGAAAAACAATTTAGGAACTCCTCAATAAAATTGATTTTATTGTTAAAAGGTGTTATAACACCATGAGAAAAGTTAAATGGAGGATAGTGTCCACCAAGATGGTCAATTTTAAATATAGGATGGTGCATACCACTTAAAGAAGATGGATATTAATTCTTTTTGGAATTGTCTTTCTGGGACTGAGTTAGTGAAGTGAAAAGTGTTGGAGACGTGGTCATGAAATGTAAAAACTATTGTTTCTGACAGCATGGAACATGTAAGTGCAAGAAATCCAGCACGCTAAGTCTGAGCTTTTCAATCTCTCTTTAAGGCAATAGGTACTGACTCTCGCAAGATGTTCTCTGGGGTGAACGACCTTCTCGGGAAGAAATCAGCACCCCTTGTTTTGCCTGACATGAAAGCCAGCAAGCTGCAGTTAAACTTAAAATTGAAGCAATCAGAAAGAGCTTTGGGGAACTTTGTGATTGGTCTGCAGAGGAGAATGTCTTTGAAGGCAACCCTCTAGTGACATTTTCCCCAGTTTCCCATGAACAAGTTAAGACGACATATAATCATGGTATCTAAACCTACATCTTCTATTGTTGACCCCATCCCAACCAAGATTGTTTTAGACTGTCTGGAAGTCTTGCTTCCTGAACTGGTTAACATCGTGAATATTAGCCTTCAGTCTGCCGCAGTCCCACGTCTCTTCAAGCCTCTGCTTAAAAAAATGGCCTGGAACCAAATGACTGCAAGAATTTTTGCCCGGTCTCCAACCTGCCCTTTATATCTAAGATTCTTGTGAGAGTTGTGTCACAGCAGATTGTGCAGCTTCTTAGCACTTATGACGTGCTTGATAAGTTTCAATCTGCATATCCACCTTGACACAGCACTGTCATGAATGATGTTCTTCATAGTGCTGACCGCGGCAATCTGATACTATTGGTCCTGTTGGACCTCAGTGCTGCTTTTGATGTGATTGACCATGAGCTTCTTCTATCAAGACCTCTGAATGAGGCAGGCATCTCTGTAACGGCACTTCGCTGGTTTTCTTCTTATCTGACTGACAGGACTCAGCGTATTGTAGTGAAGCAAGCATCTTCCATGGACACTCGTTACCTGCGGAGTGCCACAGGGCTCAGCTTTAGCACCTATTCTGTTCTACATGTACACTAGCCAGCTCGGCAGAATTATTGAAAGTCATGGTATTTCCCGCAAATTGTTTGCGGATGACACAGAACTGTACAAGTGTTTCTGCCCTGATTCTTTGGAGTGTGCTGCTGCTGTTCAGGCTGTCGAGGACTACTGACTTGTTGTGAAAGAATGGATGTCATCAAACAGACTAAAATTAAATGACGATAAGACTGAGGCAATTATTTGTGGTTCGGACACCGATCTTCGGAAAGTTGCCATCGCATCAATATAATAAAAGTTGGTGATTCTGAGATCCTGTTGTCTTCCACTGTCAGAGACCTTGACTTTTATATTGACAGTAAACTTAGAATGATTCTCAATGTCAGTTCTGTGGTCAGGGCTTGTTTCAGTCAAATGAGCGCCCTGGGTCAGCTGTGTCCTCAACTCAATAAGAGAACAGCCAATGGCGTAGCAGTAACTCTAATCCAGTCAAGATTAGATTACTGTTAACAGTTGTTTGTGGGGTTTACCTCAGAACCAAATTAAGAGACTCCAGAAGGTTCAAAATACTGCAGCGTGCACTGCATCGTGAATTAAGAAATTTGACCACATCACCCAAGTTCTTAGAGATCTCCAATGGCTTCTCATGAGTGAGAGCATTGACCACAAAATTCTGTCTCTTACGTACAGCAGTATAGAAGGCTCTGCACTGGGATATAAACATGTATCCTTAAAGAAACTGCAGTCCTCACTGAGAGTTCCCAGTGTGGATGGACACAGAAAAAAGTCATATGGAGTGCGCTCCTTTGAAGCGATAGCGACAAAATTATGGAAAAGTTTGCCCCAATCTTTAAGGGAAATTGAAAATGATAAAAAATCATTTAAGAAACATTTAAAGAAAATTTTCTTTAAAGAGATTTAAGAACATCAGAGCGCTGTGAGCATGCTAAAGTAGCATGGATACTAGAGCTATATAAATATTCAATTCAATTCAATGATGGTAAATTTTAAATGTAGGATGGTGCATACCATGATGATCAATTGTAAATGGAGCATGGTGCATACCATGATTGTGAATTTTAAATATAAGATGGTGCATACCATGATGGTACATTTTAAATGTAGGATGGTGCATGCCATGGTGGTCAATTTTAAATGGAGAAAGGTGCTATTATTAGGGTCAATTTTAAATAATTATATCTTACTGAAAAAAAAAACTGTTTATCATAAACAAGAATTGTGCAGTTTGACAAATTATACTATACATGACCAAAAAAAAAGTGGTGAAATTTAATATATAAAAATGCTTACCACAGAATGCTCCTTTGTGTGGAATTTCTTGGTTCCTTTCTATAGTCCTGATCTGGTCAATAGTTTTAATATCTGGTGACAGACCTCCATGCACACACAGGATAACTTCATCAATGATCTACACAATAAAGAAATAAAAATAAATATTTGCACATATTCAGTAACATTAAGAGAGGCTGTTCTATTTACAATATAATATGCTAAGATTCTAAAAGCCATATGTGTAGTTTGAACATAAGTTAATACAAGATGCCAGTCATACAATGGTATTTACTCCAGGTCAAAATTGTTTAAATATTTTTTTTATTAATGTGTGGCAGACAGATCATAAATTAGCTCCACTAATTGTTTAAATATTCAAAGTCAGCCTCCTCGATGGGTCAATATTTGGGTATTATCAGTAATGTATCAAATGACATGATTTATTTACCGCTGCTATGGTGAGGAGGTCAAAGACTCTACAACAGTATCTCCAGGCATTGGCATTCCCATATTTGGACTGACACTCATCTAGGGGAAAACAAAAACAGCTAACACATGACCAAAAAATATTTATATAAAACCTAAAGCCAAGTTAAAAATTAAAATAATCATGCTCTTTTAGGTAAGGGTCCATCCATAAATGACGTCACCCGGCTAAATAGGGGCGGGGGGGGGGGGGGGGGGAGAGAGCCTCAAGCAATGTGACGTTACATAAAAAGCGGAATATTGTAGAGCAGAATGCACTTAGTAACCTTAAGTTACAGACCTTTTTAAACATTATTTTTTTATACAACAATTATAATTATTTTATTTTTAAAGTAGGACCTCTGAGAGAATAGGTACACGTATGCGAGGTCTGAAAAATGGCCTATGATCAAGTTACAGCACGCTAGCGGGGAGGAAAATTACAATGTAGTTACAATGACGAGAATTTATGGCTCAATGTGGATACGGGAGTCATAGAATTAGGACTAGGGGCCTACCGCATGAAGTGGGGTGGAATGAAAATGGTTGACTGAGGTAAGGGGGGGAGGGAATTATCTTAGTAAATGCTCTAGGGCAGGTATTCTTAACCTTTTTTTGCAGCACTGCATGCAGACTCTGTTTTAACTTTTAAACACTCACAACCCCCCCCCCCCCCCCTATATTGTAAAAAAAAAAATGTTAAAATTTAATAATTTGGTTATCACAGTTTTATTTCTTTAATTACCTTTCTATAAATATTGGAAAAAATTACCAATACAAGCAATGCTCCAACAAAATTCACCAGAAAAACATTTACTGCTGCTAATCAAATTGCATAAAAACTTATTTTAAAAAAAAACAGCAACATCTAGCTATGGCAGCAAATACAATCAGTGGCGTAGCTAGAGTTTATTTCACCCTGTCCGGTAAGCTTGTGGTGTCCCCCCCCCACCTCGACTTTCACGATGTAATTTTTCTTGTTAAACTTAGTCCACAGTATAACATATAAAAGAACAAAATCACATTAATTGCAGGTCAAGAGGTAAATGTATTTAAGAACTGCAACGAAACTTAGAATCCCCCATTGTTATCAAAGGATAGTTGTATTTATAAGAATTTAGATAAAAATAGCTTCCTGTCACTTACAAAAGTTACAGAACACTTAATTTGGTGTTGAAAAATGGTCAAACAGTGTGTTTCTGACCTAATAATAAGGTAACCTAATTGTCTACGCATCAACCTTGAAATTTTAATAAAACATGCATTTTGGTTGGTTACATGGGTGGAAAATTAAACTTGTCATCTGTTATCCTTTAATGAATTACGGTTAGACCGAGCAGTGTGTGCTCAGTAAATACGCAATTTTTCAATTTGGTGTAGCCCCTTGAGATGGTGTCACCCGGTATGTTCCGCTACCCCCAGCTACGCAAATGAATACAATTTTCTGGTCTTCCACACCTCAGGGCTGGGGAGGTACTTTTACCCCTGGTTAAGAACCACTGTTCTAGCTAAAATGAAATGTTTCTCACAGAGGTGCAGTAATTTGATATCCAAGGGAGGGGAACTTCTTAAGGGTTTGTAAAGGATTGTAGTGGACGCAGGGACTTTTTATGGGGGTGGGGGGGGGGTGACGTTATATTTGAGGGGGGAGTGGTCTAACTTTTTGTGGCAATGGGGGGACGGGGGTAAAAATCTGCAAAATTTGCGTGATGTCATTTATAGATGGTCCCTAAGATGATATGATAAAAATCTTTCCTATACCGCTTTTTCTTTTCCCCAATTATTTGCCTTAATTAACTGATAAGCATAATTTTTTTTTACAAACAGTAAACTCAAGTGAAGCAAATGAAAGAACAATATGGATACTCACCATAAAACCCATAAATCTGTGTGATCTGTCTACTTTCATGGTTTCCTCTTAATAACACTATCTTGTCCGGCCACCTAGAAAAAAATATAAGTTAAAAAAACATTAAGATATAGAGATACTATTTATTTGAGGAAGTCCTGTAACTATAGGTAGGCCAAGACATTGCATTTTTATCCACTGAAGTTATATTATTTTTTATATTTCACAGTTGCAAAACTGCTACTAATTTGTTAACTATATACATAAATTTAAAAAAAAAACAAGATCCATCCTGCTAAGGTTTCCTCTACTTTGTTTATCATAAAATGAAATTCTCAGATTTTGTCTACTCACCTTATGTAAACTCTCAAATTTTTTTTTATATTAATGTCGGGATTTCAAAGACTGTTTTTAAAAATAATGTAACAAGTAATAGAAATTATTTTAACTTACTTGGCCTTGAGTGTGAGGAGGAGTGTGAATGTTTCTAAACTGAAGTAGCCTCTGTCCACAAAATCACCCTAAGGAGAGAAGAAAGCAAATACATACAGATTAAGAAAATGATGATATATAGATGACCATAAATTGTAAGAATATTAAAATTACTTAAGATCATGTCTTTTTATTAGAAAATATTTCAAACTACCTTGAGTTCGTCAACAATACAAAGCAAGTGAGATTTTTATAATAAAATTGAAACAACACATATGACAGACCTGCCAACCTGTCAAGAAAAAAAAATCTGAAGGGGGGTTGCACGCAGGGGCGAAGTTGGGCGCTGCCCCCCGGGGAGGCGCCCCATGGGAGGGGGGGTGTTAGTTTAACATCTATATACTAATGCACACGCCTTTTTTTTTAGTAAATAAAGAAATATAAAGTTACCTCCATCGTCTTTAAAGGGTCCATAGAACACCACAGAACATGTGGCAAACATTACTGGAAATGTTTATATACACAGATATATACAGAACAGAACAGACAATCCATTTTATTTACATATGTACACACACACAGGCTGCTAAGACTCTTAGTAAGAGTTCAGTATTCCAGCATATCCCTAGTGATAGTGGCCTTTTTGCACTCTCCAACAGCTCTTTGGACAACTGAAGGTTAGCATTGCAGTTGATTTTAGTTACAAGCAAGTTAGAAAAAGTATAAACTTTCATGCTTGCCCTTGTTTCATTGTAATTTTTCTTTACAATCTTCTACTTCTACTTCTAGCATTCTGTAAGTCTGGAAACATTTTTTGATTCTGGCATTAAAATTAAAACGATCGGAGTTGGCTAGGGCTAAAGAAATATTTCCTTCAACGTTTATTAATATCATTGTACCCATCACTTTCAATATATTTAACCATTTAATTAAGAAAAGCTTTAACAAAAAAAAAAAAAGTTGGAATTATTTTTTTAGCCTTGTAAAAAGGATGAATCGTGATCGGGGATCAATTGATGATTGAAGAATGATTTGAAGGTCGCAGTTCGCTTCGATGAAAACAAGGCAGTGCCTACACATCAGGCGACCAGACAAATAGTGCGGGAGATATTTATCCGGCGTGCGTGCCAAGCTTTATAAAAAACATTGTCACTTTTTAACCAATAGTTCATTATATATGGTTCTAGCATTTCTTTTTTATGATTGAACTTATTTCTTTTTTGTGTAAATTCCCAGACTATCTTGAATTTGTTGAAATGAAGTACCATAAACTCTGATTGACTATTAGCGGTCACATGACAAGGCTGACGACACATATCTCACGCAACTATGTTACAGTGGTCATGTGACTTGGTCGAATAAACACTAGCCGGACAAATATCTCGAGAATTTATTCACTTATTCATCCGCTTGCTGGACATGTAGACACTTAGTCAAAACAAACACAACACTTCCTGTCGTACCTGCAGATTTTTATGAAGGGTGAAAAGTTATAAAGTTCGAAAAATTGGAATTTCAAGGGGTTTGTCGGAAAGTCGGAACGAGGGGTAAAAAATCTGTATAATTCCGAAAAATTTGGCAGGTCTGCATATGATCAATGGGATTATCACATATTAATGTACGTGGATTAATTTAATTCAACAATAAACACTTCTTTAGTCCAAGTATTAGCAGTTCCCAAAGGGTAATCCAAATTAACCATGGAAACCATACACAAGAACCTCAGTTCATGACTAGCTTGTTAATGAACATTATGAATTATATGAACATTTGTAGTACTGATGCTAGGTCATTCAGAAATGAATTTGGTAATTTGCTTTTTACTGAAACAGTATAAAAAAAATACATGGCTCACACTGCTCATATGTTTATTAAATTGGAAAGTAGTCATTTTTGACCATTTATATAGTGAAATAAATTTTTGAAATTAAATTAAAAGCTCACCATAAATACATAATTTGTGTCAGGCATCTCCCCACCAGTTCTGAATAGCTCCATCAAGTCATAAAACTGAAAAATGAAATGTTAAGAATTATAAACATTTATCCTATTAATAACACCAGAAAGAAATATTTTTAAAAATAATTTTTACAGCACTTAATAGTAGGGGTGTGCCGGACCCCAGTCCGGAATCCGGTTCCGCCGGATTTTGCACTATCCGGTGAAATCCGGTTCCGCCGGATTTACATGTATCCGGAACAACCGGATTCCGGAATCCGGAATATACCGGATTTCGGAATTTGCCAGATTTTGTGACTCACCGGATCATAATCTGAAATAAAAGTAATTCTCTTTCCCGAATTTCACACGATCACGATACATTAATCGATTGTTTCGAGCGTTGAGCTTGTTTAATGTTTAATATTCCGTACATACCAGAGGCTAGAGTCAGCACCGCTAATAGTGGCCAATAGTGTAGGGACTTTGATAAGAAAATTTAAACTTTTTGTAAAAATAAACCAATGGCATAGTTGAAAAGATGTAATTTTTTAAAGAATTATAACACCAAAATCATATTTTTAGCTGTTGTAGTTTTAAAGTTATGAATTTTTAAAGTACGACTTGGTTTGTCATTTTTTAACATGGACTGCATCTCCACATTCTGTGATCTCATTCCACCAATCCCGTCATGCGCAATGACTATATAGTTTATATAAGGCAACGCATTCCCTGCCTTATCACTAAAATACTGTTTAGACTTAGTTTAAACTTTCAACTTTGGCACATGAATAATTAATTAAAGCTTTCCCTGACCAATGGTTTAATAGTTTTTGCACACGGCAAACTCTTATGAATGAAACTCTGAGGTAGTACTACGATACAGTTATGCAAGTGGCTGTGAATGGTTGCCAATGACAACGTGTTGCACACGGTAAATTCTGATCATTTATAATATGGATTCTACCGGGTTGTTAAAGCTCAAATTAAAACATTCCAGTTTAAATGTCTTTAAATGCATTCTGAAACACAAGTTATCAATTATTTTGATGTAAATAGTGATAATAAATTAATATTTCCTAAGTATCGTCAACTTCCGCCATTAAAAAGGGGGGCGTGGCCAACCCCATGGCGAAATTAGGTTGAGCGAGCTGCATAACCTGCTGCGAACGCGTAGAAACATGGCGTCTCTCGTAAGACACTTATCCAAATGGAACGGAACTCAAATATATATCGAAAGTACTAATTTAATAATAAATAGACACACACATCGGAAAATTAAAAACTCGGATTTTTTGGCGCCGATTGCGAATTCCCATACACAAAAAGTAGTAGTCCACCTTGACTTACCGAAGTATCTACCAATAGTACCAAAATCCGGAATCCGGGAGAAACCGGAATCCGGATCCGGCGGATTTCGCATAAGAAAATCCGGATCCGGATCCGGTTGGAAAAAACGGATCCGGCACACCCCTACTTAATAGCCCATTATAAGATAACAGAAGTAATCCTCTGACCACTCTTAATAAATTATAATATTAACACATAGACATAAGCAATGAAATTAATAAAAATGTTTCTATAAAAAAAATAAACTTACTTGTCCATGGATATCACCACACACAGTGACCGGTGTCTGAACAGGTTGAACATTGGACTCTTCCAGGAGCAGCTCACATACCATGTCACAGAGTTTCTGAAAAAAAAGTTACATTTTAAATCTATAGCAACAAAGCATTTAGATCTTAGCACTATGATTAAAAATATAAACCTATACATTAAAATAGTAGCTCTATAGCAATTGAAATGTATCATATCTGATGCTATTGATAGCCATCAGCTGGATAACATTACTTATTATTATTTCCTTCTTCGAAATCTTGGATTCAAAATGATAAAAACTTATATCCTGATGGCTTTCGTTAACGCTTTGAAAGCACACTTAAAAATTTTTTGTTAATAAAGCTTAAAATAATAAAAATAAAAGCTGCCCGATTCTCAAATCTATTGATTTCTTTACCAGTATTTGCTCATAGAATAAGTTAGGATGCAAAACTTGCCTTTGCTTTAGTAACATGAATTATACACTGAAATAAAGCATTTTACCCAACACAGATTAATTTGAGTATTGGACCTAATGTATAAACCTAGTTCATCGCATGTCAAAAAAGAGCTTCAACTCTAAACTAACAGGCTACAAATCCAAGTAAAAACATAGATTTAGATGTTACATAGAACAATTGTCTATTTTCCATTGTCTATTGTTTACCGAGATCTAATCTAAGCCCATGATTTTGTTAGGTACACCGCCACGGTGTATGCAGGCCTAGGTCCATGGCGGACCATGGTTTTGCTAGGCTAGAGGTACACCGCCCCCCCCCCCCCCCCCCCCCGAGTTCGATAAACAAATAAAAACCACAATAAATACATGATTGGAAGTACCAGTTTATGGTCAGTTTATTTTATTATTAAAAAAGGCATTCTGTTAAGTATAATTCTCTGATTCTGACTTCTTATTGAATTGACTCATTCAAGTTTCACATATCATTCATATTCAAGTCACTCGAGACTCATTCATTCATTTGACTCATTGACTGGCGACTACAACCGGACTAAATTTCACTAATTTAGAGAAGGAGTGTACTTCTGATTTAATTTAAGCTATTGGTAAAAAAAAATCACACAATTATAAAAGCATTATAATTTTCAACAAACTTTTAAATCGTTTTCTGGTAAATATTTGCATTGTTTGGCAACTTCTATCCAGTGATCAATGTCCGCCATTTTCCATTAGCTTCTGGTTTGATTTGACTCCCCTTTCATCGCCGACTTTGTCCAAAATCCTTATAGCCCATATTATTCTGGTACAAACATTTAAAAATAAAGAAATAAAGAAATAAATAATGATATACACACATATATTCAGTCACTTGACGGCGCAATCGGTTAGCCTACCGGTAAATAATTTGTGAAAAAAATCATTGAAACATTTTTAAAGCACCGTAACAAATATATAAGAGTAATCCATGTAATATATAATGAAAATAAACTGAAAGTTGCTTAATTTTCTAAATTATCATTAAAAACTAGAATAAATTACCCGATGTTATTGGTTTAATGGTAGGTCCTTTGCGATAATTTCTATCTGCTATTGATAAAACTCATCACGATTCCTAACTTTAAAATGAAGTATCTTTGTAATGATATTTACTTTTCTAGCATCATTATGTTTTGAGAAGTATTTATGGCTATATATCATACGCTTACCCTACCACCTTTCACGTCCCTTAATTGTTACTAAATAAGTTAATTGACGGACGATTTCTACGCTAGAGAAATACTTTAGATTTACCCCTTTTTGTGCCTTTGAATTACAACTTATTTTCTCAAAAACTGTGTTTAAAAAACATCATATTCAATTTACAAGAAAAAGGAATTTGATAAATTAGCATCTTCATAAAAAATGTAAACACAATTTGCCTTTTTTTTTTAAAAAATATAAATTATCAGGAAATCGTTAAACAAATAATTCTTTTATCTAAATAAGAATATCGCAACCGTTTTTCACATCTATAACAGACTTGAGTGTGTTTTTTTAAATTTTAAATTAGTTAATCTCATAAAAATACACACCCACTTTACTTTTGCAAAGTTAAAATAATTTTTTTTTTTTTTTCATTTTTTTTAAAAAGTAAATATTACCCATCTCCATTTTCAAAATTAAATTTTAAAGTGTGTAGGCCTAAATGATTGGATTTTGATATTCATGGTTAGGCCTATACTTATATAGATGTAGGGGGAGTTGGGGCACAGTGGATCAAGGGGCACAGTGAATCAGTGGTATTTTCTACCAAATCACCGGGAGATTTCTGTTGCTGATGTCATCATTATTTGCGTATTTACATCCGCCGACTTTATTTATACAGCATTGCTTGATCTAACGTCAATTTGAAATTTTACAAGGTAAGGTATGTTTTTTACCATCAAAAGTAAATTTTAGGACCTTCTCTAATTTTATTTCACAGATTTTATTATTAAGATTTTAAAAATTCGATGTAATTGATTAGCATTAGTGACCTAGTAGAATGTATTAAAACTATTTACCAGTCCTATCTGCTTACCTTGCTCAAACCGTTTGAGCTGGTTGGCACAGTTTAAAAATCAATCCCTTTCAACCATAATTTCAAACATAACATTTTAGAAAATTTTCTGTACAAATAGTCCTTCACGCAGGCTTTAAAATATTTTTGTTCACTAATTAATATGTATTTTGTAAAGTTGTTCTTTGGCTCACTTTTGGATCAATTAAAAATATGTTCTTCATCAAAGTTCAACTCTGAAAAAAATTATTGTGTTCTATTCATCACTGACTGTTTTACAAGCAGCTTTAATGTTCCAAAATAATTACTTAAAAATTTTTATGGGTTTTCATAATTTACTTTTGACTACGTTCGAATTTGGTACTAATCTAAAAGTTTAAGATGCCATGGCTTTCTTAAAACATAATATCAAAATCAATTTGATGATTCTGTTCCGCTGAATTCAAGAGCTACTCTGTGGAATAGTTTAACGTCATTCACGATCCTTTAGAATACCTAATTCAAATAAAGAAAATAAGAAATGTTTAAATTTTAATTTAAAATCTTTATATGTTTAGCCTAAAATGGGTCTGGACTTTGCATTGAAGACATATTTTATCTGATAAGTGAACTGACCTACGCAGATTATCAATTATAGTCCATTTTGTCTAAATACACATTCATAAACTAAGTAATAAATAAAGCTAATGTGTCAGTCTACCTAACACTGAACACAATGTGTCAACCAGCTCCGTGTTTGGGCTAGAGTTCGCACGCTGGAGACCTTTTAGAACAGCTAAGTCCCAAAGTTGGTATATCCTATAGCTACTTTATCTCAGTAGCGCAGCTAGGGTGACCCGGTGCGATAACTCATGGTGCCCCCCCCTCCACCTCTGACTTCCACGATGGATTTCTTCTTGTTAAAATAAGTCCAGATTTTTAAAATGACAAGAAAAAAAAAAATTGAAGGTCACAAGCTAAATGTATTTATGAACTGTAACAACGCTACATTTGTAGTTATTTTTACATTAAATTGACTTTATTAAAAATTTCCCTTTCCGGATTTTCAAATTTGAAAACCTGTCAATCCTTTGATCAAACTCAATATCTGTCACCGTATCACCTTTAATTCATAGTAGAGCCAGATCAGAAAGCTTGAATATTTAATGGTGGAACGTAAATAGTTCTTGATAAGCCTTAGTTTTAGAAAGCTCCACTCAAATGAAGCCATAGACACACATATTGTTAGAAACATTTGAGTGAAGACCTAGCGAGAGTATTGGAAGAGATTCTTGGAAATCTCATTCAGCTGTGAATTTCAAAACTTCTGACCAGTCCATGACGTTGTAAAATTCGTTGCTTTTAGGTGTCTCCTGAGCCTAGGTATTTCTTTTAAAAGTTCATCCTATGATAACTCATCGTAGAAAGAGGGTCATTTTGGAAAGGACACTAATAACCCTAGAAGATGGTCTGATTTTAAAGGTACCCTTTCAATAGCATGTCCCACCAAGTGACGGGGCATCTGGGACAGAAACAATTTTAAGACCTCTAGGTTGGTAACCACATTGTCAAGAGTAAATCATTAACTAGGATTAACTTCCTCAGTTAGATCATCAAAAACGTTAAAGTAGCAGATAAACATAAAATAAGAGACAGCGTGTAATGATTATGCTATATGAAAATCGTGCTAAAATATTATTGGCCGGTGCTAGTGACAAATCGTCGAAAATATTAATTTTTGAGTATACCTTTGTTTCGATATATTCAGTTTCAAAAAACTTTTTTTTTTCCTTCCAAATTTTAGTAAAATGAAATTGATTATCAAAAGATTTAATAACATTTTTTAACATAATATTCTGTTAACCCTATAAATGGATAAAAAGTAATTTTTTAAATGCTTTTAATGGTTACTGATTCAATTAATGTACTTAAAATCGCCCCACCACATCGTTTTGGTATAAATGGAAAGCTTTATTTCCCAGACTTTAGATACATATAGCGTCTTTTGCCCTTACAAAGTTATCGAACACTTCAGTCGGCGTTGAATCATGGTCAAAACTGTGTTTTTCTGACATAAATTTAGGATCAACTCATTTCTGACGCAAAAACCATCTACTTTGATAAAGCAAGCATTTGGATTGGTTATATGTGTGTGGGGAAATGTAATAGTGATTGGTTATCCTTTTGTAAAATTTGGTTCGACCGAGCAGTGGGCTATATGCATTTTTTCAATGTGATGTAACCTTCTTGGATGGTATCAACCGGTGTGGTCCGCAACCCCGCATTCCTTGCTACACCACTGCTTCTATTTCTATCAAATTAACCCCAATCGGATAAATTAACACTGAGTAAAATATTTCACTTAGATGAAGTTTAAATAATAATTTAAATAATCGCGGTCAAAAATGTAAAAAAAAAAAGGTGGTACAACCCCCCCCCCCCCCCCAAAAAAAAAAAAAAAAAAAAAAAAAAAAAAAAAAAAAAAAAAAAGGGTCACACCCCCCCCCCCCCCCCCGAAAGTGTTAAGTTACGATGTATATTAAACAAAGTCACGAGAAAGTGTCATTTTTATATAGAGCCTGTTACAGCTAACCTTCTCACTCCAAAAAAAAAAAATCATTAACTCTATATATAATTAATCAAATAAATTCAAAACAGGCTGCAATCTATAGGTATCCGGGTACCTTTAATGGCAAATGACTATTCGCACCCGGAGGGAGTGGCTCCGTACAGATTAAATGGCTTCGGAGTCGGGTGTGATAACAATAATTAGTATGAGAATAATTTTTTTTTTAATTGTTTTTTCTCCTTGTTATTTCATAGATTCATAGTTTGATTCTTTTTAGTTGTTTTTTTTAATTTTTACTATGTTAATTTCTCTTAGGACGGGTAGATTTTTTTCTTTCCTATTTTCTTTTTTAGTTTAAGCCATTTTCGTAGATCATTTTTAAAAAAAATCTAGTAATGAAGATGATTTAGATACTAAATGATTTAGATGATTTAGATACTCCACAGCCCCCTTCCTATTCAAGTGGATTGACTTTTTCTCGACAAAATTTCCTGCGGGCGCCCATGGTTGGTCAGCTCTAGTTTGATAGATGGCACTTAATAATTTAGATGCCACCTAAGTTGACTCTGGTTTGTGGTGAGTAAAATGAGAGGCAGTGTTAGTGATTTTATGTATCTGGATGGAACCAAATTGCTATATTATTCACCTGTTTGCAATGGTGTTTATTTCGCTACTGACATATATTTCATTACTTTCCCGCTTTTCGCCTCTTAGTCTTAGTAAGTCACCAGCTATTTATTGAGAAAGAAATCGAAACTGTCACAAATTTTAAGACAGGACATTGACAATTTTATTTAAAGTTTTAACAAATATTTCCCACATAACCCCCACACATGGGCGCTCGCAGGGAGGGGCAAGGGGGGCACTTGCCCCCGCCCCCCCCCCCGATTGATTGGATAAAAACATTTAGATAAAAATAGACCAAAAATTTATTAAAGTAAAGAGAAAATAAAGAGAAAGTAACTAAGCTGATGTCCTGTCCGTTCGTTCACCATACAAATACGCTACAGTAAATTAAAACTATATTAAAACATTACTATAAAACCGGGAAAAAAAATAAAAAAAAAGGGTACACACCCCCCCCCCCCCCCCCGAAAGTGTTAAGTTACGATGTATATTAAACAAAGTCACAAGAAAGTGTCATTTTTATATAGAGCCTGTTACAGCTAACCTTCTCACTCCAAAAAA